GATCCTGAGCCCAAACTGCGTCTAAAGCTTCTATCCTACGTCAAAAAATGATCATTTAAAGATTTAAGTAAAAAAATAGTCTAAAACAAATTGAACAGTCTGTTCAACCTCCCATTTATGCATGCACATCACGGCACAAAGAACACAGGGAAAAAGTTTTACTTGTTTAAGAGATGGATTGTGACAGGATTTAAAGTTCTGGGGATTTTCTAGACAAGCTGATCCTTTATTTAACCTCAGGGTGTGTAACTTCTCCTAAAAAAGTTCATTTCTCTTCAGTCTCCTGGGAACTAAGCAGAAAGAAATGTTTGCAGCTGAAGTCAACATTAATTAGCTCATTTTACCTGCAGTAAATTGTTCAACAGTTCATCAAAGTGAAAAATACAAACAAAAAAAGAGTTAAACAATAATAATGGCTTTTACAGAAATTTAGGTAAATTCGTTCTGTGCCACCATGTAGCTACGGTATGATTTCAGAAATATATTCAGTTTTAAAAAAGACAAGGAAATCCAAAAACAAAGGTAACATCAATCATTCTCCATAATTAGAAAAGAGTTGGAGAGTTAGAATCTAAATGACAGGCTGGGCCACGCATCTCTAGACAAATTATACAGTAACGCATCTCTTAAAACTCCCAGTTTGTCTCTTTATTACTAGCAAAGGAAATATCTGAGTTGTTTTACGACTCAAACACCAGAGATATTTTAAGGATTAAATTTAATACTTAAAAAAAAACATTCAAAGAAACAAGCCAATATCTGGAAACTTGTGTGGAGTTTATAATCTTTGTAGCAGTTGTTGTGCCATAAACCACGATAATAATTTGGACATTGAGAACCAATGTCCATGTTTCATCTAAACATGATCACCAGAGAAGAATATGTAGTTTTGATGATAAAACAGCTGTGAGATCTCTCTTCTTTGCTCTGCAACCCCCTTTTTTAGCCAACTTGCTCCACATGGCAACCCCCCAGAGGTAGGACTTGCCCCCCTCTGTGTTGAGAACAGTAAAAGACCACAGCACATAAGATTTCACTCTCTTTCCGGTTGCCTGGGGTTTCACATCGGAAGAGACAAAACCATGGCGCCAGGCCCAAAGGCCCAGATCTCTAGAAAAATCAAGGATAACTCATGATGGTTGACTTTTCATAACGAAATTTCTGTAAAACAGACTTTTTACAACACATTTCTCTTGAGTTTCCGAACTTACAGAGTCGGACTAGAGGAGAAAGTTTCGTTGGTGTTGGTGTGAGCTGCATGGGACAAAGGACAACCCCCCCTTTTTGCTGTGAGTCTGCCCTGCTAAGCTGCTGCTGGATGAAACTCAAACCTTTCAAGCGGACATGGACAGAGTTTGGCAAGTCTGGCACAATTAGGGACAGAACAACGATATGTCTTTTAAAGATGTTGATCATTTCATGCGTTTACCGATGAGTAAAGACAAAGCTAACAGGATGGACTGCATTCTACTCTATGCTACAGTAATATGTCTGGAGCTGTTGTTGAAGCTTGGAAAAGCTTTATTTCAATAAGAGTTTAAACACTGATATAACATTAGTGTTCATGTATTCCTCATAAGCTCATTACATTTCTATTACCAAGTATGACCAAGAGTCATTTAATGGAAAACTGATGTCTATTCGCTGCTAGCTATTTCAAAGAGGGTAAAGAATGATTTGACTCAAGGTTATTGGTTCCCGATTAAGCAAATTTAATAAAACATAATGTTTTATTCACCTCATGGATTTGCATTGTGAATTGGTTTGAAAGCATTCCAATTTCTCTAAGTTAGTGAAAAGCTACTTTGATCATATCCTAAATTCTCCCAGATAAACTTTGGTTTTCAAACTCAAAATCCATCTTAAACTGTAATATGGTTTTCAACCATTTTTCCCCTTCCTCCTTGTACATAATAGTTTAGTTTCACTACTTTTAGATAAGAGCGTTAAACTGAAATATGTTTGACTTGGAGCTGAATGATTTATCTTAATAAACTCTTATATTTTGAACAGAACTTGCGATGAATTTATTCCATGTATGTGCATAATTAACTGTTCATGATTAGTGCTTGAATCACTCTTTCATTTACTGTTCTAACACACAGCTAGTAAGGCGTGTGTTCATAAACAATATATGACAGTCCGAATAATATCTGATTATAAAAGATATTTGCCACCCGTACCGGGGAGGGCAATAAACTTCTAAAGGTATCAGAACATAATATGAATGCCCAGCTGGCTGGTAATTGGATATAACAGTTATTCACAACACAGTGGATCATGAGTAGGAGGGGCGTTTCCTGGACCAGGGAACATTGGAGGCTGAAAGAGGTTTTTATTGAAGCCCTCTTGAGCATCCAGGCACCTTGTTTAAAGCCAAACACTGCATAATGTACAGCCTGCTATATATAAACCTCTAGACACGTCATTTGATTTAACCCGTAAATATCAGATCATCAGATTTGAAAAAAAAAAAAAATCTTTAGAAAGAACTTATTGCCCCTCATGGATGAAAAAAAGATGAGTGGTGAAAGCAGTATTCAATTCTTACAAAAAATTATTGGCTCATATTGTTTTCTTGCACCCTGCATGCGTTTTTTTTTTTAAATATAGACCACTATAATCTACATATGACGGCTAAACTAGACTTGTTTATTTTTTATTTCTATCCTCTCCATTTTGATTATTTGATTATTATTTGAAAAAGAACAAAGTTAATAAACATTCAGGGATGACTAACATAGTATTTTTTCTTTTTAGTTATACTGAGGCTGATGCAACACCTACAGAGGTCTTTCTTTATCTTCTACATCTTTCCTTAAAGAAAAACATAGAAAAGATTGGTTATTTTAACTCTTAATTAACAAAAACTTAAGTTTCATGGTTAAATCAGTTTCAACAATTACACCCACTTCAATGCTTTAATCATTTAAAAACTGCCTCATAATGCCATGACAATACTGAACTTAAACTAAAAAAAAATATTAATCAATTTTATGATAATAGATGAAACCAACATCCTAATTTGATGGATAGAAAGAGATAGAAATATCCCAACAAGGTCTAAGTGCCTTTCTCATCTGGGTATTTACACATAAATAAACAATAAGATAATAAAATATTAATCTTGGATATAACATAGGGACTTCTTTGGTTGAAATTAAGTAAAGTTTTAAACCAACTCTCATAAGGTGGAAGAAATAAAATGAACTATGAGCAGAGTTTCTCAGAGTTTAATGCGCGTCACACCTGTAAAAAAAAAAAATTGTGTGATTTGAATATAGCCCAGCTCTCTTACTGCGATCACATTGGTAACTGTGCATTGCAGTTGGTCTCAACAGACAAAAGACAGCAGGCCTTCTTGTACTGCGTACTGCCCAGTGTTTACATGTAAACAGAACCAGACCATATTTTCATCAAATGGCTTTGAAAATGTGGGAAATAAAGTTTTAAACCAATAGCTGTTTTTTTCCCTTTCCCCTTTGTGATTAACAGTTTTTATTGTTGAATTGAATTTTAAACCTTTAAAGGTATAGTGGAGGATGTTATTTTTCCGGGTGGATCATCAAAATAAGTGGTCCTCCTAATTGTCAATCATTCTGGTGATATGTTTAGATAAGGTTGTCCTACTGGCTCGTCCTCATTTAGGCTACGTTCACACTGCATCCTGAAGTGACCCAAATCTGATTTTTTTGCCCATATGCGACCTGGATCTGATCTTTTCATGGCTGTCTGAACAACACAGATCCAATTTTTTCCAATCCGACCCAGGCCACTTGGCTATGTGGTCCTGAATCCGATACGAATCTGATCTTTTCAAATGCGACCTGTGTGTGAACGGCCAGGTTGGATTCATCCGACCAGATTCATCAATACCAGACAAAGGTCACCATTCTGGGTCTTGCTACACAGAAGCGGCAAGATAAACAGCGACCATGGCAGATGATGATGCGGGGAGCAGTATTTATGTTTAACCATATTTAAAAGAATGAGTTTGTATGGTTGGAAAAGATTGGTAGATGCGCGCCGGCGCTACCATTCATGTTTACTTCCGTAAACATAGAGCACGCTGGCCTGTGACGTCATTGCATCCTTTACTGCGCATGCGGGACATTTGCGTTGTATGACTGCAGTTCACACAGGAGATCACATACAAGTCACATATATATATATTTCACAAAAAAATTGGAATTGAGCATCAAGGCCTGCAGTGTGAACATAGCCTTACACTTACCTGTGGTGAGTCTGACAAAGTGGACAAATTGGGAACCTTCTTTAGGAAAGTAAGGTTGTTTGAGCAACTTATAAACAGAGCGTGCAGGAGGAAAATGGGGTTATGCATGCTCTCGCACGTATTTAATAGGCGTTCCCTCACGGGAGCGGGTAGAGATTGTGCATATGCATTTTTTATTTTTTAAAGGGCAGAGGGCGGGTCTTTTCAAAAATTCACGAATATCCTCCACTGTACCTTTAAGCTTTGTCTGATTTAAGCTTGATATGTTGCAATCATGAATCAGCTGCCTGCTATTCTAACCAGGATGGCATCCTTGGTGGCACGTTCTGCCCACTGCCAGCCAACACAGAAGAATTATTATCTTCCTTCTTTCTTTAACATGTCAACTTTCTGCCCCTCCCCCACTTGCTGCTGAACACTTCCCGTCTATTAGCTGAAAAACAGCTAGAGAAATAAATCCAGGTGCTTAGATTAATTAGTAGTTGTTGATTAGAGTAAATGGCCATTAAAAATGCATTAAAGTGAGCACTGAATTTCTAAAATAAAAATCTGACATAATCCACAGAAGTTATTCATTCCTTTGAATGAATAACTTCTGAACTTCTGGCTTTATCAGCAGTGGATGCCCTTATTAGGATCTCTGCAGCCTCATCATGCCCTCCTCTGGGCTCTTTTCTTTTAGCTCCAGCCCAGTGGTGAGTTCAGCACATGGCGTCTCACATGTGGCAGCAGCCTAATGTAGGATTAGAACTGCATTGTGGCTTACTGGGGTTGGGGGGGAAAAGGGTGCAGCTCTTGCAGTGGATGATCTCCTTCACGACTGGTACGTCCTGGGAGACGGGTGCAGGCACCATGCCGAGGCCAGGCATCATTGGATTTATGGGGGTTATCCCAGCCATCATACCAAGGTTAGGATCAAAATCTGAAAGCAAGAAAGAAACAGAAATGAGATCAAACAAAAATCTTCTCAAAAAAACCCCAACAAAAAACGTGTTTATTATCATTTCAACCCGTACAGAATATGCTCTCATTTCAAATTGTTTGTTTTTTCTTCTCTGTAAATCTTTAGCCAACATCAGTGACCCAGCAGCAGCCTACACTTAATGGCAAACACAGCCCCCTCATGAATAAATCATCTGTTAAACAACATGCATATTTTAAGACGTTTTCACTGAGTCACTCCTTCTCTGTCACCCCAGCTGTTTGAATGATGAACTCACAGATAATGTAGTTGGGTCTGAAACCTAAATCACAGATAAGATTTATTTGCAATATTGATTTACACAGCAGTGGGTAAAAAACATGAACCCAAACACAGGCGTATAAACGATGGTAGCATCCAAAGCTGCCACACACGCTTTTAAGTGCATCTGTGTGCCTGTAAGGAATGAAGTGAAATGCAAATGACTGAATCCTGGACCATGTGCCTTGGCTTCACCTGCAGAGGATTTGGAGCTGACATTTATTCGACAGGTTGCTTAATGCACACGCACCTGTGTGTGAGCATGCAGCAGCACAAATCCTTCACCAGAAATTATATGCACACTGCAATGCCCTCGATATGAGGAAAAAGAAGAAAAAAAGACTTTCAAGAACATGGTATTTGCTGACTGAGTGAAAGTCGATGGAATCAGTATCATGATACGCATAAATAAAAACTAACATGATGAATCAGACTTATCAGAAAATTAATCTTTAGATGATTTATGTTAGCATGGCTGCAAAATGCAGGTGTGGGCTATTAAACAGAGCATGCTGGGTAATAACAGCGGGGAGAATGAGACCCTCAGGGTTTCAATATTAGACTAAATAAATTCAACATGCTAAAATGGTTTCATAGAACAACTTAACTTGGTAAAAAAACAGAAAAATAAAACAGGAATAAAATTGTAGTTCAAGTCAAAATGAATTTCATGATACTCTACTGTTTGTTTAATTGGATTTTATGTTCAAAACCAACCCACGTGGTGCATAACTGTAGAGGAAGGTAGACAGTAAATGTTTCTTCTGTAATTACATCCCCTTGGTCTGATATGCCTTAATGAAATCCAGCGCAACCAATTGCTTTCAGAAAGTCACCTAACAGACTCCAGCTGTGTGTTATTCTCAGCATAAAGGCAGCTGCTCTGTGAAGTCCCAAGAGCTATGTTAGAGAGTACCAAGAAAAAACAAAAAAATAAAACAAACAAAGCTGCAAGGAGGCCCACTGGTAACTTTGGACAAGCTGCCAGGATGCACAGCTCAGGTGGAAGATTCTGTCAACAGGTATGGCATTATTTAAAAAAACAAACAAAAAAACTGGAATTTTCCATTAGGATTGAGTATATAAGCTCAACACATTTACTAAACTGCTTATCTTCATCCAGGAAAGGTAGAAGTATCTTCTTAATTTGGCTTTGGGACAAAAATCTGTCCAATCGGGGTATTAGTGTCACTTAACATCAAAGGTCTTGTCTTAAATCATGAAGGTCTCATCACATTGAGCATCTTGAGTTATTACACTGTTGTTCCCTGAACCGTACAAATTGTACCACGAAACAGGCTTAAATTGCAAGGCAACCAGACAGCTGCCATGACCCACATGACTGAGAAAATACACAAGCAAACTGATTTAAAAGGATGGTCCAATAAAAATACAGACAAGGAAACCATTTTACAATTATTGGAATGACATACAAATTGATATTAAGATTGTTCAATGTTTCAATAAAATCAAATGTTTACATAAAATGTTAATGGCTTTCCTTTGTTCAATAATTATAACCTTTCAAAGGGTTCCTTCTTACATTTGAACATCTGAGCTCGGATTTGTTAGATTTTGGGCCTATTTGCACCATTTCCACCTATTTCCGATTTTGTAAAATAACTGCACATATGAATTGTGATTTGGGGATTAAAGATGGTTCTGATTGTAAAAATGTCAAGTCCAAAGATAATTTTCAAGTAATTTCTTCAATATCCTAGGTACCAAAGTAGAACACTTATATCTTACAATAATTTGTGTAAATATTGGGTTTTAATACCTGTAAGTTTCTCAATGCAGCACAGGCTGCAGCTTTAAATTTAATCATGTATAAAATAAAAATGCCACAATGATTTATTTTTTTTCAATCTTCAAAAACGTAATATGAAGTCTAAAGCACATTTTGTTTACTTTAAAACATCTGTTAGATTCGGTGCTCTTTTGGGATCATAGGTCTAGTTTAAAACCCTAGAATATGATTATTTTGAGGGTAAATAAAAAACTGAAAATTGTCCCCTGCTTTCATTTTCATTTGCTTCAAAAACCTGAGCTCAGAGATAAATTTTGTGACTTAATTTGCTTATAAATCAATGTTAAAAAAGCTTAATTTCATTAAGATAAATTAAGAAAAAAAAGTAAAATGTAAACATTTTCTAATTCCCTGTGCTCTGCTTTTTCATGCTTATTATAGCTTGGAAAATTATAAATTGAACTTATAGATGTATCCTCTTAAACGGGCCTGAAATATATTAGTAGGCGTTGATTATTTTACCCCTTTAAACATGAAAAAAGTCAAAGAAAATATTTATTTAGCATCAATTTGGCTTATATTGATCCAGAAACCTCTCCTGAAAACCAATTTCCTTTAAGCACACTGCAGCAGAAATAAATTGATGAGTTAAATCACAGAGAGTTCGAAAGAATAAAGAAATATGCACACTTCTAAAGACACAGATTAGAGAGCCTGGGAAGGACAGGATGAAATACATATATTAAGACAGATAAAACTGGCTGAAGGACAAAACTGAGAAGGGGGCAGACATTAGAAGTATGTTATGGGAAAAAATGAGGCCATTAAGATTAACAGAAAATGAATGAAAAAATGTACATCTATACTGATGGCTTCAGCATCAGTCTGTAACCAGGTGTGAGAGAAACTGGGATAAGTATCTTTGTTGCTATGGCAATTGATTGCTTCTTCTTGTTATTGTAAAAAAGAGAGAAGAAGGATAGAGGGTAAGAAGGAAGATAAGAAATGGTGGATTAAGAAAACTGAAACATCCACAGCCTGAATGCAAAATGTTTCGCTTAAAGAAGAAAAAACAAGAAAAAGTAAATAATAATGGATTCCAACAGCAAAAGCAGTGATGTGGGAGGTTATCCAAAGAAAACATTGTAAACAGACCTTGGAAGAAACGCTTTATTGTGTGACACATTGCTGCTCCAGTGGTATAAAGAGGATATATGCTTATGAGTTTCTACATCGATAGAAAGCAAACTAGATTTCAGAGCACGTGGAGAAAACGATCTGGTTACATCAGGGTGCTATTTCACAGCGGTGCTGCTCATTTCACCACTAAAGAGAGTGCTTGAGTGTTGGTGTGTGTGTTCCGCTGTGTATTTATCCCTGGCCATTAAAAGCTTGAGACCTGAAGCAAAAATGTAGCCAAGCTGTGTGTAATAAAGGAGATTATTTACTTCTTCCTCTGGATTTCCAGCCTCACCACCGTTGTCTCATCTCCATTTTCAACAAAATAGCCAGAGGACACATTTCATCACTGACAATCCATTATTTTTCTCTCCTTCAGTCACAACTCATTATAATGCATGCTGTAAGTGGACACAGATGAGCATGTAGTTTTCTGCATAAATAGCTTCTCTTCCTGTTGGAATTTGCTGCTGGGATCCAAATTTGAATTTTGAAATGGTTAACATTTCAGGCGGCAGCGCGTGAATGATGACACGCAGCTGTTTTCACTTTTTTTCTGTTTACAGCTTTGGTTTATACTGATGCTGCTGTCAGCTGGGTCTGGTGGGTCATATAATGAAAATAAAAGTAAGACAAGAAGGATTTTAAAGTTGCTGATCTCCTAAAAAAGGCAAAAAATAAAACTGTTATACTGTGTCTGTATGATATTCAGCTCTCAGGCCAAAACATTGTTTCCAGCAGGTTACAGACTCACTATTTTATGTCCAAGAAGAGGTCATTTGATCTCACAAAGTTGTCTCCAAAAAGTTTTAATGACTTGAACTAAAAACAGAGAAAAACAAAATAGGAAGCAAGTGACCATCTCAATAAAGGCAGGTGTTTGGACAGCTTGCTGCTCTGCAGCATACCAGCATCTCCTAAAGGTAAATGTCGTATATTTTCTACATGTCACACTCTGCCTCTCTCTTACAAACAATCTTTGCAGACAACGTTGACTGCAGTGAAATTCTGCCCAGAGCGCACCACTGTCATCCAATAGAAGGAGCATGCATCCACTTGCAGGTTTGTCTGTTTAACTAACCTTGGCGGTTGGGTTGGGTACTCTTGCATTTGAACCGATACCAAAGCTGTGCCTGGTACCTGAAAATTGGTGTCAATACTTAATTGTAGCCATAATCTCTACCATGCAAACATGTTCTCAAACCCTAGGCTTACCTGGCTGTAGATAATGAGTCGCTAACAGATGCTAATGGTGCAGAATGCAGGAGTTGTAACCTGGTTTCTTCCTGTTAAAGGGGAGTTTTTCCTCTCCACTGTCGCTACAAGCATGCTTAGTGTGAGGGATTGCATTTGAGTCAATGAGACGGTGCAATCGACTGGTTTTCCTTAGATAGAAGACTTTGAATCAATTTGACTGTATGATCTGGCTGAACCTTAAAGTGCCTTGAGATGACATGTTGTGAACTGGTGCTATATAAATAAACTGAATTGAACCTTGGATCTGAGGCTGTTAAAAAACTGTTAAATCTTGAACTTAACCAGATGCTTCCTCAGGTTCGAAGTACCACCACCCCTGGTCTTATACTTTGCTTTACAATATTATAGTGGAATCCTCCGTCCAAACATTTACGGTTAGCCATGCTTGAGCTTTGTTTACTGTAGCTGTGCCTTCTACCATCATAATGCTCTTGTGCGTAGAGTAGGGCTGGGCGATAATTCAATAACGATATATATCGATCGATAGACGTGT